CAAAGCCCCCCCCCGTTCTCTCTCTTCACTCCATTTTGTAACTTTCCCCAGGCCCCACGTCCACCAGGGGCCAGGTAGCCCAACTCTTCCCATTCCTCAGGTTCCTGGCTGCACATCAGCGCACAGGGCCAGTGAAAACAGAGCGAGCAGGGCCCTGGAACAGATTCTGCCCTAGCTCCAAGCAGTGGGTTATGACAGGGCTGATTGTTGGTATAGGTTTCCTTTTTTTCTTTCTTTTTTTTTTTTTTAAAAAATTCAAAAAGAAAAAGTAATGGGAGAGCAGGAAAATTGGCCTGGAAAGCAGCAGGAAGCACTTGTATAGAAGAAGCATTAAGGCTCCTGGGCTGCAGGACTCTACAGCAGTTTTCTGTAAAGCAGGGTCAGCTACAGAAAAACACCGTGGCAGAAGCAGCCAGTTTACATTCTTCCTGCCAGACACCTGCAGACAGAAACCAAGAGGAAGAAGAAGACAGCGGATCCCAAGGAAAGGAGCCATTACAGAGTCCAGGCCGGCACTGCTGGCACACATCCTTCCCCATCCATCGCTAAGGCAAAATGGCAATGTCCAATCCTGCTAAACTTCAGCTGCTGCCCCAGAGCTCTGCTTCTGGGAAGCCAGTCACCTCTCCCACCTCACTGAAGGGCTGCAGACCTTGCGTGAACGCTAGTTTGTATCGCAGTCGGATGGGATCCTGTAAGAGAAAGGAACAGAGTGGGGGCACGTCATGGTTGCAGATTCCTGGGCCCCTTCGGCCTCACCACTCACAGCCTTGTTGCAGTGAATCACCCTCTGAAAGGGAAGAGGAACACTTCAGCCATGTGGAAGCTCTGCACAGAACAAGACCTGGATCTTCATAAGACATACCAGGGAGACCTGACTGGGAGACCTGTGCAAGCCACCCAAGGGCATGCTTGGCAATCCAGGCCTGGCCAACCTTCTCAGTGACACCAATCTTTGGTCTCATAATTATTAAAAGAACTGCCGCCGATCACTTGTGCCTTGGGTGGCCTCATGTCCCATCAGCTGCAAACATCTGTGCAATGTCTACCAGAAGCCATCACTGCAGGCAGACTGAAGCAGAGCTGTGCGGGCCCTTGCAGCAACTGCCCATTTGATCCTTCAGATTATAGCTCTGAAAAGCTGTTTCAGTGGGAAAAATGTCTTTCCAGCAAAGCCCAGACTGCTCTGTCTCTCCCCTGCATGTCCCAGCTAATATTACTCTCCCCATCTTTCATACAAATATCCCACTCATGACAGTGACATTCTGAGTGCTCCACCAACAGAGCTAATCACCACACGTACCTTGTGCGGATTGGCAAGCAGCAGGACCTGGGATACCACTGCGGGGGGGAGAAAAGGGCTGAAGGCAGGCAGCTCAGAACTGGATGCTGGCTGTAACTTTATTTTCATGGTCTGAAAGAGAAAACAAAAGAAACGTTTTTTGATCCACGCTGAAAAAGGGCTGGGAGTATTACCAAGCCACAGAGCTGGTTAAAAAATATGTCAGCCAGCTTTTGTCATTTAATGACATGCACACCTCTCGACAGCCTACATCTAAAGGCAGATATTCCTAAATAGACAGTTCTATGCTGCACACACACAGGCAGAACGAGTGCCTTACCCAGGGGGCAAAAGCAGCGTGTCTGGAGCCCTGTCTAGTTGTCTCAAGGCCAGGGAAATACTCTGAAACAGACACCGGGGCCACAGGCACCACCTTCACCGTTCAGAGAAAGCGACCCATGCAATTTCCAATGAGCAAGGCAAACCCTAAGCAAGAAATGACAAACCTTCTCCTCAGGACATTTCTGAGTAGTCACACTCTCTTCTACTCATGATAGGCTTCTCACCTTTGGGACTACAGCCTGGAACGCTATGTCCTTAATTGGTTGAGCTGATGTGCTCAGCATGGAAAGAACCATCACCAGCACATCTGGTCGGCCAGGAACCGGGCCTCTGGAGAAGTGGAGCATAGCCTTGAAGCCATTCCTGTCGTACACAGTAAGAGGACAGATACTGCCTGCCAGAGACAAAAGGAGAATCAGAAACAAAGCATGGATTCCCCTCCCTTCTGAGGGCAGAACAGTCAAGACAGGATAAAGAACAGCAAAAAGGAAGCACGCATACAAACTTTTACTTCCTCCAGCAAACTCACAGACCAAGCAGCATAAAGCACCTGCCTGTGATTTACATTTCACCTCTAAGGTAGAGAAAGGAATCTGAATGTCTAAATTAGAGATTTAGCAGCTCAGATTTCAACAGTCAGCTGGAGAGGTCAGGTAGGAGTCCAATACAGCAATGATGGCAAAAGCAAAATGTAACTCTTCGGCACACACAAGACTTAGCCCCTTATCACCATTGCCTGGTAAATCCATGGCTGGCTATCACCATCCAGCCCTTCCAAAACCTGGTAAATCCTTCACTTGAGAGACCGAAGGCAGAAGACAATCAGGTCAGAATGTCTTTGCACCTGTCCTCTTCCAAAAGTAGTGATGGCCAAGGCTCTGCAGTCCTCTTAACAGGACGTGCCCTGCTCTGAGACACTGGGGTGCCACGCTGGGGTAACACTCCATCAGCTGGTTGCAGAGCTGGGCCAAAAAGTGTTGAATCGAAAAGCAGAGGTGAAAAGAACAACTCTGCTTTAGGAAGCGGGACAACTCCCACTCATAGATATCTTTTAAGCCTCTAGAGATGAACCTCTTGAAGCTTGATTAAAGGTGCTAAGGGCAAAGAATTTAGAAGCACATTACAAAGATTAGCCAGGATAGGAAACTCCTGACTACTGAGTAGGGAGGATGAGGACATTTCCATGGTACAATCCCTAGCACTTGCTCAAATTCTCAGATACATTAAGTCCTTCATAGAACAGTCATTACTTTTCTCCAGCCAACCCACACAGCATGAAGCTACTTTGGCTTGCTCCCCTGCAAAAATCACAGAAGAGTTCTAGTAAGCCTCTAGTAAGCAGAGCTGGGGCACAGAAATGATTGCACTTACTCGGTGTAATTGAAATTAAAGGGACAAAAAGGTTTTCTAGAGAAGCATCATGGGAAGCTGGATGCAAAGAGGCAGCAGGCTTCAGCTCGTAGCCTAGGCTGGAGAATGAAGTATCTGCCATTGAGCTATTTGGAAGATCTGGAAAGGGCAATTTCATTGGTGACAACTCCCTGGAAAGACAAGCATGTAGAAAGCTTATATTAACTGGGGAGGCTTCATGGTCTATACCATCTTCTGCTGTGTCCATTTGTGTTCAAATCCCTCACTCCTTTTAGGTATTAAAAAAGTACAAGCTTACACTCTCTCAGTTCTTGAGAAATTTGAAAACTGTCTCTATTTTATATGGAGAAGCTGCTGTTTCAGCATTCATTAAGACAGACTTTGATTTCTTGTACTAACGCAAAACTTTCAGGGCTATGGAAGTCTTCTGTCCCTATGCACAGACTCTCTGAAGCTCTAGTCAGTGAGATTAAAATAAGTTCTAGCTCAAAGACAATGCAGGAAGCTGGAAATCTCTCGTAAAATTTCTAGGCCTATATTATGGCAGACTGGATAAGCATATCATAATGGTCACTTGCTCTGAAGATCTGTGGATGATTAGTTTGGTTCACAAACTGTTAGGCTTCTACTGAATGCCTGGAAACTACTTTGCCACAGCCTGAAGAAAGCTGGGGAAAGTATTTTTTGAGTCACGGGTTATTATCAAGAGACCTGACTGTAAGGTTTTTGTTCCTTTAGCTCCAGATCACCATGGGATTTGTCTCCCCAAGTTTCTCACCCTTGGGAGGTCCTAGTGTGCAATTACACAAAGTGTAATTAACAGGTGCATAACTGCTGCTTAAGAGCCAATGCACAGATGGATAGCTTGCCATCACTAACCAGTTGTAGTTGAAAGGTTTTCCTAAACCTCACTGCTGTAAAACAGTATTATTCATCTTCAAAGTCGGACTGTATTATGCAGAGTTTGCTTACAAGGATAATGTCTTGGTCCTGGATGGTGGAGAGCGCTGATCAACCAGGCCCTGAAATTCATTCTTCTCTGAGCAGCTGTCTTCCTCCTGCAGTCCCAGTGTTTGAACAGCACTTACAATTTCACCATATCCATTGTGCACAGCAGTCTGAAAAATAAGGCACTTCTGGTTCATGCTATATGACATCAGCAAAAATCACACCTGTTCCACTGAAAATAATCTCATTTTTTAATACCACTACTTAAAGTAGAAATAAATATGAGTAATCTGGTTGCAAACTGCAAGTGAGATATTCATTGTAGAGCAGGAGGATTCCAGTTTCCCTTCAGAATAGAGTGGCATTAAAAAAGGTTGCCAGGGAAATCTAGGAGATCAAGAATCCTGCCTGATTTTTGTCCTTCGTACCTTATGGACTAACGTACCTGAGGATCACTCACCTCTGCTAAGCCAAAATTGGGTGGTGGTTTCTGTACCGCAGGAGAGCTGCTGAGACCTAAGAAAGATGCCAAAATGCCACCGATCAATTACAGAAACCAAGGGTTTTCCATAGGTTCTTCCTTTGTTGTCTAACAGCAGTTTGACTACAGTCTAACACCATTAAAGAAACTACATCATGAAAACTTATGACATGGGCTGAAAGGTCTAATTTCTCTTAGGACTGATATTAAAGTCAAACTTCTCCTGTCTTTATTAAACACCATGAACTCTAGTTACAAGGTTAACACTGTACTGAATTGCATATACAAACCTAATGACTTTAACTCCTCGTCGAGCAGACAGGTAGAGGTTGTGCTGCCATGGCGGGAGGTGGTGGTTACATTTGCAAGTTGGTCTGTAGGAGACTGGCATGTCGCCTCCAGTTCAGAGAAGTCAATCAACGTATAGCTCTTCATGCGTCTTGGAGTTGGCCGGCATTCTTTGGAAATAGCAGAAAGAGTTAAGGACCTGAGAGGAGCAGTGTATATGTGGGTACAGGCATGACCGAAAGGACTCATAAGTGAGGAACTTCAGGAATATTTTCTATCAAGCAAATGTAAAATAAAACAATGGTTACATAATAGTTTTCCTGTGTTATAGGATTTTGTCCATATTTATTCTCTGAGAAACACTTCCCTTCCAAACTCCACTCACACACAACATGCAGGAGCAGAACTGTCGTGGAACGCTGCAGGATGCTCTTTACCTGGTGCATCCGCAGAGCTGGTGACTGAACCTCCTCCACCACCGTTTTCATGGCTGGCTACAACCTGCCTGTACTGTCTGAGCGCCTGTGTGAGCCTGTCATTGGCCTGCAGTATCTCAGCTGGAAAACAAGAGAAGAAACAAAATATTGATGTTCTAACACAAGGGTCAGTTCCACGCCACTCTCCAAACTGCTCATAAGAAAGGGACAGTGCATCTAAGGACTTGCCTAGAGCAAAGTCTAGTGGGGCAATCTGCCTTAAGCTCCTGACTAGTATTTCATTCCATTTCCTGAAGTGCAGCATTTTGCACATACATCTGCTGATTTCAGGCCTCTCTTTCATTTATCAAGATCACTTTGAAATCTGATCCTATCTCTAAAGTACTTCTAGTTCCTGCCATCTCTTATGCACTTTGTTGTTCTCCGCAAGTTTTCCGAGTGTACTCGAGTCTGTAATCCAGCTGAAGAACCCTGGCATTCGTGGGTATGAATGAAATGTTGAGGCACAGGTGAGCTCTTATGGTGGCTGTTTAAGATGTCTGTTCAGCAAGGCATCACCTCAGTCAGGTTTTCAAGGCATATGGACAAGCCTGTGAAATGTAATCCTCTGGGAAGGGCTAAATTTTACAACTGTGGAATTCACAGATTCCGCTCATATGACCCTCCTCAGTATATTTCTTAAGAAATGAAAAAATATTCTCCCTTCTGTGTTGATAGACAGGGAGAACTTCAGTCTCTGTAGAGAAAAGACCTCAAAAGCCTTCAGTTCTCTGAACATGAGAACTCCAAAACCTCTGAAAACCACCTTGGCTGGAAGAAACTGGATTCACTGTTTAATTTTGGGCTCCAAGTGAAAATTAATAGCTTCCTTGGAGAGGAGTGGGAGGACACTTATGCCACTTCCTATGGGCATGGTTTAAAGGTGAAAGTGGAAAGCTTTGCCTGCAGGGGAGCAAGTGCCTAAGTATTCCCCCTCTCAGAGGAAGGGAATCCCCCACTTGTCAAAGGAAAGGTAGACAAACTTAACCTCCAAGAAATCCAAGGATGGTGTTGGCTCTTACCTAGAGCCTCATCGTCGTCAACTGTCTCACTGGCAAGGCGAAAGAGCAGTGGCCTGAGCTTCTCACAGCGTTGAAACAGAGTCTATGGAAGGAAATGTGTCACGTCATTGCTCAGGAGATCCCAGACACTCTCACACTTCTCTGTCCCTGTGACCACCTGTAATTGATGATACATCTAGAACAGGAAGATGCACTTTCTGCCCAGCTCCAGACAGAGATATCAATGCTGCGTGTTGCTGCACTCTTAATAATCCACAGTGGCCTGGAGGTACAGCCACTGGAACAAGGAGGCTTTGCTGGGATCTTCTCTGCCATCACATCCTCTCTACACATACAGGTATAAGATAGATCGGTATAAAATTACTCAGAGTATACAGGAGTGAATAGATTGATTACAGTACTCAGGGAAGTATAACAACCATCAGACAATGCAGAGCTGCTTGTGGCTCTCTTCTCAGTGTTTTAGGACATGAGGAGGCATGGAGGCAGCCACTTTTTCAGTCTGAAAGTAGGGTCTCTTCCATCTACAGCAGCAGCCCTCCCCAAAGAGATCTAACTCCAAACTCTGCCGTCACATATAGCCACGGGAGTAGTTCTTACCTACAAAAATTCAGTTGCCTAAAGTTGTTTGTTTTTTTTTTTAATTTGAGAGTCTGGTAGGCATCCTAGTGGAGTTCCAGGTATTTGGAGGCCATAAAGCTATTCTGACAGCCCTAACAGTAACATCAAATGTTTCCTCAGTTCACTGATACTTACCAGCAGCAGCTGACCAGTGAACTCTGGGCAGAAAAAGAGGAATCACAGAAGCCATAGCACAAGCTGAAGAACCCACAGCTTTCAGCTTCTCTGGTCAGATCTCATCACACCCACCTAACCATGCCCGGGCACAAGGGGATTCCCATGTGTTACGCCACTACTGGAGGAAGAACCGTGAGATCCCCATAAGATACCACAAGAAGAGCAGCTAACCTGGACAGAAACTCAAACCAGCACAGCAGGAGACAGTTCCATTCCAACTTCCATTACACTGATGGGAGGGACCATTATTCATCAAATATGCTGGAAACTATTTGCTGTGGTAATGCTGTTTCCCTGGCAGAATGAATCCTTTTGTCCTGGGACCTCCCAGTCATAGCCAGACAAAAGAACTTCTGCAGGAAAAAAGAGCATTTACCTGTAGGGTCTCCTGGTCACATTTGGATAATTCTTGTCTCTTGTAGTTTTCCAGTAATTCGTCCATACGTTTAACATTCTCAGAAACCTCACTGATGGCATTCACTCTTCTGGACACTTTAGCTGATTTTTCTTGTTCCTTTTGATGAAAAATGAAATAAAAGTAGATGATGATTTGGCTAATACAGCCAGTGCACGTGCTTGGCTGGGTCACTCTGGGTCACACTTGTTGGGGAGTTGCTTCCTGCTAATATCTTATTGCAGGTAGAGGAGGCACAAAGCGGCACAGGTAGGGACTCGCCCCCAACAGCTCCAGTATCAGTGCTGCACCCCACCTCCCTGTCAAGGGTGAAGATGGAAACCTCCTGCCCATCTCAGGACAGGCGTAAGGTGTCCTTATGCTGGCGTATAAGAATTCGTTTCACCACAGGCACAAGAAAGACTTCAAAATTAGAGTGGGAGTTGGTGGCTTCTGCCATACAGAAGGACACTCTCAAAACAACTGCAGGGATTTCATTAAACCAGACCAAATCTGCTATTTATGCAGGGAATTGGGATGCCCTTTCAGATGGAAAATGAAAACAGACACACCAGACGTGCACACACACATTACTTGTAGAAAAGCGGCAGTTCTGTACAGATGGGGCTTTTTTCCACCTGGGAACTGTGTTTATTTTTGGAAACTTTTTATCACTAATACAGTACTACTGCCAGGATCCCACTAAAGTGGAAGTGTCCTGCCATACATGCTCCTGGGTATAAATATTCCCTCTTCCTGCAATGGCATATTTTAAGGAAACAAAACAAAACAATCCCATGCTGTAACTTTGGAATAACAAATACTGAAACTCATCCCTCCTCTGGGACAGCGTAAACAGTTCACCTGAGACTGATGTCACAGCGAGGTTCCCATTGCCACCTCTCGGTGTTCCCTTTAATACCAATAAGGCGGCAGGCACTATAGAGGTCAGGTATAGAGGGCCCACTGTCAAAAACTGAATTGCCAAGTCTCCTCCCCGGCTGCAAATACAGCTTCTGACCCAAGGAGCTCCCTACCTCTTTAATCATGCTCTTGATCAGACGGTTGGCAGCCTGCAGGTCTTCAGGGCGGTTGCTCTTTAAAAGCCTTGCTAAGAGCTGTTGAGGGGAAAGCATTGGACAGCAGTGAGCAGCAGTCTCTAGGCACTATACTACAGACACACGTCACATAAGAGCAGGTATTGAGAGACACCCAGTGTCATAATGGTTTCTATAATCCTGGAAATATGTGGGTTCATGTCCCATAATCTAATCCAGGTTATACTGCTGCCTCTTACAGCTGCCTGCACATACTGTTTGGCCATTTGGGCCAGAGCTTCTGTAAGACCTGGAGAAACCCTCCCTCGGGAAAATTTAATAGAAACTGATGTTTTCTGTAAAAAAATGTTTCACTTTTTCCTAAGCAAAAATTTCTGACAAAGCATCAGAGAATTCTCTAGCTATTGTACAGCATTATTCTGAAGATTGTCTGAAACAGCAAAAGCTCCCAAAGTATGACTGAGCCTGTTTTCTCATCAGTACAAATCAAAGTGAGGGGGTAGGCATGAAAACCCTAAGGTTTACCTTGGATTTCTCTTCATCTGTGTCAAAAATAGAATTTTGAGGTCTTGGAGAAGGGGGAGGTAAAATTTTGTCTTCTGGCAATTTGGGGTCTTCTTTTACAATCCCTGAAATGGGTAACAGTATTTGTTCAGTGGTGTCTGAGCTGTTAAAACACCCGTGCTCAACAGTGCATTGGATTTTGCACCTATTTCCTTCACCCCTCCCCAGAACTTCACAGAAGGAGATGGAGAAGCAAGGAGTTGCCTTAGCATGCACCCAGACAAAAGACTTCCCTTCCTCCCTTGAATTAAGCACAGGCCAAATGAGATTTTGAGGATAGAAAATAAAATTTGGATGTGCTGAGCTCCCTCTGGGTGAATTGCTAAAATTCTCCCATAGCAAGAGCACCAGGAGCACGCCAGTATTGACCTCGGAGCACGTGTGATTGCAACAGTCAGCACAGCCATAAAATGTAGGGCACCAAACACACACAACTGAATGTCAGCACCCCTGCTCAGCACCCCACCGGTGCCGGTGCTGTAGCGACAGCCCAGCCCGCAGCAGCCACTGCATAAAGGGAAGGCAGCAATGGCGAGGAAGCTTTCCGCAGCAGGACTTGGTGGAAGGCTTGCAAAGCCATTTGATGCTCGAAGATGCACAAAGATGGTGGGAAGCATCTAAACAAATTCCCTAATTCCCCTGAACTTCCACAGAAAGTATGATGGTACTTTCTTAGTTAAGCTATAAAACTTACTACCTGGGATATCAAGACGGGATTGGACAAATTGCTGGATTATAATATGGACTATTAAATATGCTGGAATGGATGAAAAATCCAGCTCAAGATCTCTCTGAACCCATCCCTCATAATCCTAGGAGAGTATTCCAGGGCAAAGATCACTCTGAGTTCGTCTTGCACCTCTTCCCTGTGCAACAGCCCCAAGGCTAGCCCGATCTTTGACTCAGTAAGGCTGTTCTTTGGTAAATCTCTTCAAACAGTTACATGCATCCTTAAGTACCCAAACAGCCTTGTAAGTGCGGCCTTTGTCCTTTCCTCCTTACACACAACATTTCATGAAAAAAAGCTGAGTCACAAATTAAAGAGGAGCAATATCTGTGGTCTGAAACCATGTGACTTGGAAGGCTAAAAAGGAAACTGAAATAACAGAACTAAACCTTGTTTCTTCAGCATCTGATAAGCATCCCGGATTTTAACTTCCTGAGGAAACCAGACTGTCCAACTGAATATTACTTCTGTGACTCTTGACTTGACTTTTTCTGAAGACCAGGTTCCATAGTACTGAAAACAAAACAAGACAGTAAAGTAAGACAAAAAAGATTAAAATCAAAGAGTTAGTGCCAGATATGGCATATGGGTCTAGCCCCAAGTTGTTTGTGTGCAGAGACCGAGTAGCAAATGGATTCCTAACACTTTATGCACAGTGTTGTCGACTGTGTATCTTGTGGTATAAGAAACAGTGTGTACAGCTGTGGCTGTAAATACAAGGAATGCTATTAAATGTATAATAATTATATAAATCTTATATGACAATCAAAATGGAACCATTTAAAAACTTCTCTGATCAGTTATTGAATCTGAAACCAAAGGTAGGCTGTTCTATTTTAGTGAAGACAGTTCTGTGCTTGACTTGAAATATTTCCCTTAACTGCCAGCAATGCAAATAGCACCACTGGCCTCAGCCAGACCCAGACAAATGAAAACAGAACAAAATGAGAAAGGAAAGTTATTGACTTTTTTCAGCACCTGGATGTTTTCTCTGATTTCTCTCATTATTGCCTATGAGCACTCACTTTAATGTATTATAAAAATATCAGGAAGAATGATAAAAGCCACACACAAGCCTCCAAAACACTAGACATTTTTAATTCATTAAATGATACCTGTTCTGTCAAAACAGCAAACAAAACTCTCTGTAGCAATATATTCTTTAAACTTTGTTGTTTAACTGAAATTCCTTTACCAAACGTGGGACTGAAAGAAGAGGTTTTGCTGTTCGGTTAAACATTTCTCTGAAATCAGCTTGTTGCACCTCTGCTGTCAAGATGATGTAATGGAAAATGAAGCCTGTACACGCGGTAAATGTGTGCAAGACCCACTAAAAATGGGAATCGATTACTGAGTTGCTGAGAAGGGTATTTAAGAAAGTCCCAGACCTGATATTTGATGCAGAGAGGAGCAAGGCACAAAGATCACACAGTCTGTGATAAAACAGGTCTCCATTTTTCATCATGAGAGGCAGTGCCAGGGGACCCAGTACATCCACTCTGAACTCACAGCTCAGCTTCTCAAACTAAACTTCTCATTTCTGATGGCTGCTGCTTTTCTCAGGAGGCAGCAATTGCACTCAGAAGCAAAGTGCTCCACAGCAGGGAACAGGAATGAGAATATTGAATATACTGAATGAATGTATTGTGAGCCAGGGAAGTGGAGCAGCAGGAAGGGACTCAGCAGCTTCCACGTTAGCTACAGCTGATCCCTTCCTGTCTCCCCATGACTCAGGGCTGTTGCTGCCCGCAGGCTGGGAGCCCTCTGCCTGGCTTTCGGGACACTCTCAGCAGGACCCCCAAAAAGGCTGCATGAATGCATGACTGTCACATGATGGTGGAGCAAGGGCTGCACCGGTGCTGCTGAAGTCCGGTGTCCCCTGCCACTACCTAAGCTGAACCTTCCTGTTGAACAGGACCCAAACCCAGGCTAACCTTTGGCAGGAGAAAGCAACAAGGAAAGCAGCCAGAGCACAAGAGCTTGATGATAGAGCATAAGAAATCATGGGAGAGGCTGTGGGCAGCTCCTGGCATCTCTGTCCTCTGCCACTTCCCCGACCAAAGTTCTGTAAATCATTGAGAGGCAAAAGGGCCACAGGCTGAGAGGTCACAGGAACTATTTCAAGCTCCTCCAGAGTCTCTGACTGTCCCAGCAAAGTTGGATGAAACCACAAAGAAAAGGCTTTTCACAGAAAGAGACCCTGGCTTACATCTTTTACAGGGGGATTCACATCCAGTCCTTGTGCTTGGAGGCATAGAATGAATTCTGCTCTACTTCTATGTGAGATTAGTTCTAAGTTTTCATATCCAGCACAAAACAAACAGTGTGTCCCACCAGCAATGTCCCATGTTACCACAACCACCTACCTTTGGGGAAAGCACTTTAATCAGCTCATTCAGAAACCTGAATTTTGCTATTTCATTGTGAAATCTTTCACCGCAGTTATTCACACAGGTCTCTAGCACCTGCAGAAAACAAAACAGTACCAAACAGAAACTGTACACACAGGTCTTGGGAAATTTTTAAAATCTTTGCCATTATAATACTAAATCTAAGAACATTCTTGCATTCACAAATACAAGATACTGAGGAATTTGTAGAGCAAGCACATGTAATTTTCCTTCATGCAGCCTTCTTAAGCAGCATGTTCAAGACCATCTGCTCTGTTCTACCCATCACTAAACTTGTGGGCCACTGACCCTGTGGTGGGACCACAGGCCAAACAGCAAGAGCTGCAGACCACTGAAACACCTCAGCAGAATGACAGGGGAAGGAACAACAGCAGTGACTCCCTCCATTGTACCCCGGTTTCTGTATTTCTGGTGCAATGGAAAGTTAAAAGGGAGAGACATCCAAGAGAAACAGAAAGGGAGAGACATCTAAGAGGAAAAGAAGAGACAGCTATACTGTCTTATCCCTCAAACTCTCTTTCCAAGTTACTGCTGCCTCTACAGATGGATGAAAGCACTTACTGTGAGAGCATGGAGAGCTTCCATCTCCTGAGGTGACTGTATTTTATGTGCCAGCAGCCTCGGTGCAAGTGATGGGCTGGGGAGTAGCAGAAGCAAGTCAGACAATGCACTAGTTCCCAAGAAAAACAAAGGCTGCTAATTTTGGCCTGCAGAGAAGAGCAACTGCTGGATTCATGACCTGCTACATCAGACCCCCTTCCTCTGGCAGAGAGCTAGCCTGGGGCATGCACACACACAAGGGGCGAGAGATGAATTGAAGCAGCTTGTGTGACCCCACTGCCATCCTCCAGCCATGTCCAGAGACTGTCCTCTGGGAGGGAGCCAGCTGGGGGAGGCTGGGGACTGTCCCTGGGCAGGCACAGGGAGATAGAGCTGGCTCTGGGCAGGCACAGGAGCTTTGATTCACAGCCCGACCCAGCCTGCTGACTGCTCCTGTGCACACACACTGCTGGGAAATGGGTGTCAGACTACGGGCTCTGAATGCACAGGCATCTGCTCTAAAGAAAGAGATGTTCACTAAGCTCTGACAGGTCATTTGCTCAATTAGTTTCTGCTCTTTTCCACAGAGCAGAGACTGTCAGCTGGAAGGTGGGGAAGTCCCAGCAGAGATCTCCCACCTCTCCAAAAGAAAAAGCCAAGGCTGAGCTCACTCAGGGCTTCCCTGCAGAACCCCACAGCAGGTATCCTTGCCCAGTCTCCCAAGAGGCCGGTGAGGGCACAGTGGCAGGACCTGCTGCCTCATGGGCTGCAGTAATGGATGTCAGAGCCCATTCCTAGACATCAACCTCCACCACGTTGCCATACACCTCTTTGCAGCTTATTTACCCGTTCTTGTACGGGCACTCTGAGGAACAGCAAAGCCCAGCAAACACTCGCAACTGTCTCTCCAGGCTCCCTGCACCGCGGCTTACAGGTCCCGTTTCCCCCCACAGCCATGAGAGAAGCTTGGAGCCAGACGCACAGCCCAGAGCGAACACAAAGAGCTGTCTGTCTGCCTTACCCTTCTATGTCGGTGTTCACCTGGTCACAGAACCGCTGGATGCATTCCCAGTTTTCCTCTGGGATACTTGGGTCAGTGGCTTTATCTTATGCAGAAAAAAAAAAAACAAAACCCAGCCTCAGTGCAAGAGGCGTGCAAGCGAGTGGCACAAGGCAGGAAGCAGCTCAGACCTCACACTGCTACCGAATGCTTTAGGGCTTTTTGTAAAAGAGGCAGAAATGGAAGACACGGGACGAGCAGGAAACAGCTGTTACTAAAATCTGCCTAAAAACACAGTCTTGAGTACACACTCTTAGAGTGAAAGTCAGGCATGAACTGAGGTTTTCAAAGCAGCAACAGCATGATGTTGCTCTTAGCACACAGCATGAGAAACTGTTAAAAATCATTTATAGGCAGCTCTCCCAGGACCAGACTGCAAACCTTACTGTGCTGGCACGCAGGCATGGTTTACCCTTTTGCAACAGGGCTGCACAAGTGCCCATCCCAAAGCTCTGCCTGCACGGCTGAATTGAGGAAAACAAGTCTTTTTTGGCTTTATCCACTCCCCAGTCTAGCACTCAAATAGCTTTGGCAGGGCTGAGGCTGAGGATGGACAGGAGAGATGGGGAGCAGGAGAGACGCAGCAGGTTAAGACAGCACCCATGAACATCACTCTGAAAGGGCTCTGCGGAGGAGATGGACCCTTCCCCAAGGAGCTGAAGCTGCTCCGGTGCCCACCCGGTCAGGGCTGGCCCCCAGCCCTCAGCCCCACTCACTGAGCCACTGCTCCAGCTCCCCGGCGCCAGCCATGGACTCTCACTCCGCTCCGCCCCAACGCCAGCAGGAAGCGGATCCCCCCGCCGTCGCTCCTTGCGTGCCGCCGCTCACCCCTGTGGGAAGCCCATGCGAGTTGTCGTGGCGTGGAAGTGTACACTATGGCTGTGGGCTGGCTCGGTAAAACATCCCCACCCACCCCTCTGGCTGCTCCTCCCCTCGCTGGCGTGCAGGGCGAGCACCCATTGGCAAGAACAGAATCAAAAGTCACCACATTAATTTAATAATTAAAAGATCATCATCCAAAAGAGGAAAAAACATCCCAATCTCCTGGTCAGGGATATTTTTAGCAGAACCACATGTGTGACACAGTACACAGGGAGTAGAGTCCCCCCTCTCCGAGCAGCTCAGCCTGGAAGGGCAGCGGGGCAGCTAAGAGGGCAGCAGCTATAATATACACATTATATTTATATATATAAAAATACCCTCCCTACAGTACGTGTTGGGGACCTGTGTAGTCGTAGCTGTGAGTACCCTGATTCTCAGGCCCTCTCCAAAAAGAGACCAATCACTTGAGACGAGTCATGCTGGTATCAGAAATAGCATTACTTTCTGTCCACACGGTCTGAATTTAAACGCTGATAAAAGTCTTTTTCTCCCAACCCGGAAACCAGTCTACTTGCACGAGATGAAAGCAGAAGGACAGACCTAAATCTGTTCGGTTCCTCTCCCAAACTGGCTTATGCTTAGTGCAGATACATACAACATCACTGTGACACCTGCCTGGTCTAAAGCCCCGCTCATCTCATCAAAGATAATCATGCTGAGATCAAAAAATACAGGTGCTGTCTACATCATCTGAGTCCATGGGCTGGTTGTCGGTGTCATTTCTGTCTCTTATTAGCTAGCTAGTGCTTTGTGTATTCTTCCACACACTTCTTTGGGTCCCAAAGTCACCATCATCTCAGCAACGCTCGGTCCATGCTGCAAACACAGAAGTAGTCATTGTACAAATGGAAACTTACACTTTTCAGTACGTGTTTATGCATCATCATGGCGGAAATGATAGAGTGATTAGCTATCAGATTGCTGTTAGAGCAAGGGTAGGGGTTTTATTAGCAATCTCAAAACAAGGATGGTTTGGTTTTGGTTTTTTCTCCTGAAGCAGACTGCACAGAAAATCCCAGTTTTACCCAAACCTTGCCAACACTCCCTACAACTGGTCCAGAGGCTTTTCTGACTTCAGATTTGTGACCAGCATATTCACACTTTGACAACTTCTGCCTTTCTGAAACTTTCAGAACAGCCTTTTCTTCCAGAATTGCTGTATATCAGTACTTTCGCTCATAAGAGAAACTGATGTCAATTCTTGCAAGATATCCAAATATCAGTATCTTGCTATCAGAAAGAAAAGAGTTGTTTAAAAAAAAAAAAAAAAAAAAAAAGAAGGTCCCAGTCTCGGAATTTTTATTTTTACCTGCTGCCCACTGAGAGCCAAGCGAAGGAGCTTCATCATGCTGCTGTACTTAGTCTCTTTAGTTTGCTTCTGGAGGCTTCTCAGGTCTGTGTTCAACTCCTCCACAGTCAAAACAGCTGCCTGCCTTGTCATGAGCCTTTAGGAAAGAAAATGTCCTTACAATGTACAAAACACAGGATTCCTACCCAGAAATGACTAATGACTTCGATGACTGCCAGCTACCTCAGGCTGATTTCGCAAAATCTTCTGGCAACAGCGGCAGGCCAAGGTAAACTTTCCTGCCCTTCACTCCTGCCCTGTGCCAGGGCACTCCTTCTGCTCACTGCAGCGTTGGTCATGCACACGGGCACCCTCCTAGGCTGGCAGGTGGGACTGCTCTACCTCAATACCACTGCTAAGGCTCTGCTTTGTGAAACTGTACCTTTACTTCAACAGCACCAGAAGCAGAGGTTGTTCAGAAAAGCAAGCATCAAGTTTAAAATCACAAAATTATGCCAAGGATCTGGAAAACCACAGCAAAAGCAGTAATTCTGATTTCTTTTTTAATAATATGATTTTTAGAGATGCAGGGGCCATTGTTGATACTACTCAGCTGTAGGTAGCAGTACTACTATCCCTCCAGGATAGTGAGTATCGTGACATTTAAATTACCATCACTTGGATTCACTTACCACCAGTTGTGACAAGTGACTGAGGGCAACCGTCTTTACAGATAGCTGAAAATAATAACTCAATTTGTAGATACTGCCACCTGAATTACTCCCAAAAGTGGTTTTCGGGGCTCATTTTAGTCCAGAGGTGAGATTTGAACTGGAAAGGCGACTGACGTACCACCCTGCCTAGCTGCAAGATGTGGAGTAGCAGAGGGACGTGGGGCAGCAGTGAAACTCGTTGGCAAAACCCCACAAACCTCACTGGCATAGAAGGAAGGTGCTACACTGGGCAGACTGTCTGCCATCCCAGCAATGTTTCTGAGCAGACAGAACTGCTAGCTAGAGACAAAGAAATGGCAACAGGAAAAGCCCCCCTGGGACGAGCTCCTCGAAGTGACAGCGATTCTGGCTGGACACAAACTGGGTTCATCCCAGAGACCCAGAAGTCTCATTACATAATCTGAATACACGTTGACCAAAACCACCTCACACTTGTCCAGTTTGATGCTGTAGCAGACAAAAACACAGGAGATCAGGTGGCACAGGAAAACCCTGCTAACGCCGCTGCTTCACTAGTGCCATGCTGGCACACAAACTGCTGCGCTTGGTGCTTCACTAAATCCAGACATGGCAATTCTTGCTTGCGAGCACTGATGTGAGCTTTCCCGCTGGCAAGCTGCTTTTCAATTAAAACCACAGAATTTCTCACTAGTTACTAACTATAGCACATTCCAAAGCAGAGCAAATTAGATAAGAACTATGAGCATGTCCAACATCAATACAGGAGCCAAGAGCAATGCTCTGGGGTAGGCAGGTGGGTGTGTACAGAGCTGGGAAGAGACACTTACCCTAAGACTAGTTTTCCTATTTCATCTACTTCTGCAGAAATGGTGTGTAGCTGCTCTCGGGACACTGAGGGCCTAACCCATAAGTAAGAATAATCAGATGACACGAGGTTCTTCAGGAGGCTTATGTGACCCTGGAGAAAGAAAGCAAAGCTGTCAAGGTAGAGGGTTAAGCTAGGGGGGAGCAAACACATCCTGTCTGGACTTCACAAACAGTTAAAGAGGGTCCAAACACACCACTGCCTCTTACTCTGTACTGCTCAGAGGAAATGTGAATCGCTGACATTTAGGCAGCTGAGTTTTTCACACCCATCTCCAGCTAGTGTGAGCAGGAACACAGAAGAAGCCCAAAGGGCCACTGCTGTACCCATGCTGCAGAGCCACGTGCAGGCTGACTCAGAGTTAGTCCGGGGAAGTGGCTCGCCACATTCATCTGCCACCTTTCAAGAGACAGTGGGAAATCACATGAGTCACTGTCCTGCTGCCACAGCGAAGCCTTCATGCTGGAACAGTCGGGTCTCTTCCTGCCCTTACAAAGAAAGCTTTATTCTTCACAAGGAAGTCTCCAGATACTACAGTAACATCCCAGGGGCAGGCTGGGAAACAGCTGGGCTCATCCTCCTTCCTGGCATTGGGAAGAGCCACAGTATCTTCTGTCCCCTCCACAGCCAGCACTCTGCTACTTAACCGAGACCAGGGCTCCCAATGCACAAACCCCACTAATTTAACCACCGAGAACTTCATCCACCTCTGCAAAGAGGTTGCTTTGACTCTGGTACCAAACCATGGAGCAGTAGCAAAGCAGAAGCACCTTACGCCGCTCAGTCAGCAAAAGCTAGAGGTGAGCAGTGTCCTGGCCCCAGGTGCTGGACCTTCCCACCACAAGCAGCTGCATCCTGGGCTACAGGAGAAGCGCACCTTGGAGGTTTTTCAACACTCATCTAGACAAAGCCACTGATCCAGCACTACTGACAGTCCTGCTCTGAGAGCAAATCACAGAGGTCTTCCAAGAAAATTCTAGAATTCCATGATTTGCTTCCACTGCAGGGACATGTCCTCCTTCTGCCGAGGGAGTTCTCTGCTGGCTTGGAAAAGTACGGATGAGCTTACAACTCTGCAAAGACCACCAAGATATTCACCATGCCCATTCCTACAGGTCAGCTAACTATATCATTGGATTTTGGCAGTCAGCATGCACACCATCACTTGAGCTGGCAGTGACAGCCATTTGCAGGCTGTGGAGCTTCAGAGCTCAGATCAAAGCAGTGCCCAGGACTCAGCTGAGTCTTCATCCAGGAATCCCACAAAACCTCAGCTCCCCAAAATGGTGACACAATGCTATCACTGCTCGTACTTTTCTCAGCAGGAGGACTCGCTCCACATACTCCTTTTCTAAAGCCTCTTGAGCCACTTGTTGATCCCCATAGACACGCTCCACCAGCAACTGCAACTCTCTAATTAGCTTCTGTCGCAGCCCTTCGTTCTCAATATGACGGGTGAGGTGAATCCTGTAACAAAGAAGAAAACTGCTTTTGGACTACTTTGGGTTAGATTGGATCTAATCATCCCAACCTCACAACATTTACCAAATAAACTGTTAGAAAAGTAAGATTAAACCCCAGACAGACGTTCTACAACAAAGCCCTGAGCGCTAATGCACCACAGTGACCAAAAGATGTGGTAACCCTCAGCAGCACAACATCCCCGTAGCACAGGACTGTACTTGCAGAAGTACCCTCTGGAAGCGTTGCCTCTTTTTAGATGTTATTCTGAATCTAAACTTAAGACCTTGCATCCTCCTAGTACACACCATCTGCCCAGGTTTTTACAGAGCACCTGACACCAGTGTCCAAGCACGGGACAAGAGAGGAGACAGGAATGGTGTAAGCAGAAACTTCTACTTCGCTGTAGCACAGCGAAAAAGCTGCTGCGCTAGGACCATGCTTGATCCAATAAACAAAATCGCCAGACAAAGCCAAGCCCTAGGAATAAATTCTCACTGATGTACAGATTATTTTTACAGTTACCACTGATATTTATACCTGTTGAATTCTGGGAGTTTTTCAAGATCCAGGAGGGCAGAATGGGTTGTAATTCTGCCTATTTCAAACTGCAAGATCAGCTCCTCCAGAGTCCTCCCCATCTGTTTCTCTGCAAAATAACCCAACAAGGGAATAATACACATCCACTCTCCTGCAGGAAACTACCATCACTGCCTTTCATTGCAAGTCTCAGGTGCAGGGCTGGGGCAGCAGCACACCCAAGGAAGAAGTGACACAGGAGCCACTTTTCGCAGTGCTAATGGGGATGTACCCCAGCAAACAGGTGGGAACTTGTGGCAAGCACGCACGGGAAGCTGCCCTCTCCTTATGAGCAGGCTCTGCTAACTACTGGCGAGGAACTGGGACATTCTGCTTGGCTCTTCAGTGGGACATCCCTTGCATCAGTCAGCCAAAAGGAAATAACACTCAACCAGGAGGCTCCTCTGCCCAAGAAAGGTTTAATTTCCAAGCAGAGCAACAAATGGAGTCATTGAGTCAACTTCTCATGGTCTTTCAGGTTAAACAAGAAGCGTGACAAATGTAATACATGACATTGCAATTATTAACCATAGAATACAAGTTTTCCCAAGAGTTCACAGACAGTTTCTTCACCTTGAGATGAATGTTGTCCTAAGCGGGAACCCATTAAGCATCAGACTCAGTTTAAAGGGCTGCACAGAGGCAGAAAGATTTCCACCATTCCAGCACACCACCCAGTCTTTCACAGGAGCTCTGCAGAAGCCCTGGTGGCATTTCGGTGAGAAACAGGTCGCCTGACACTCATTTCCTCATTCCTTCAAACACTGTCTCGGTTCTCGGTTATTAAAATAAACCATTCCCCAAAGTGAGCAACAAGAAGTGTCCTACCAAGTTCTGAGCCCGTTGTCATTACCTGCAAATCCAGAGCCACAGTTGGTTATGATGTCCAGCAGAGCCTCTGGCAAGTAGCCATCCTGAGCAAAACGCTCCAGAAAGATGTCCCCCTGCCTTTTTGACAGCTTGCCACCATCTTTGTTCAGAAGCAGCGGGAGGTGACCAAACTGAGGGGGATCCCAGCCAAAGGCTTTGTAGAGAAGGAGGTGCTTGGACGTTGAAGTCAGCCACTCAGTTCCCCGCAGAACGTGGCTGATGCCCATGTAATGGTCATCCACCACATTCGCCAGGTGGTAAGTGGGGAAGCCGTCCCCCTTGAGGATCACGGGGTCACCTTCCACGTCAGCCACTTCGTGCTTGTTCCAGCCGTAGACCAGGTCCTGAAAGGGTTCCACCCCCTTCTCCAGCCGGAAGCGGACAACCCAGTCAAGGCCCTGTGACAGCTTCTCAGCCACTTCTGTGGGTGTCAGGTGCCGACACCGGTTGTCGTATCTTTGAGAAAAGAGAATGAAGGTCTCAGTTTAACACAGGCCAACCCCATCAGCCATTTTCACATTCCCAAAACTCTGAATCAATCTCTAAAATTATAGCTGTAACCTGCCCACCATGTGTCCATCAAACTGCCTCATCTCTGGAGGCTGCTCTCCTACGCCTCTAAGGGTTATGCTGGCTTGTCTCCCTATGGAGAGTGAGATTACAGTCCTATTGCCCTGCACATTGTTGTAAGTTTTTGCAAGCATGCAGCAGAGAGGGAACCACCCAGCAGAGAAGGAATCCCTACCGTGGGGTCTGCTGGCTCCGCAAAGCCTCCTTCTTCAGCAGCTCCAGGCGCTGACAGGTACAAAAGCAGCGGTACGCCGCTCCTCTCTCCAAAAGCACATCACTGGCTCTCCTGTAAAGGTCAAGTCTGTGTGACTGCTGGTACGGTCCAAAGGAACCACCGCGGCGAGGACTCTCATCGGGGGGAATACCTGAAATATCCGTATGGTGGGACTTAAAAAGCCTGTAAAAAGGCAGAGTGAAACCCACCATCAGAGCACACTGAACGAAGACGAAACAGCAAGGTTTGGGAGAGTGTCCAAAGACGGCCCAGGGCGGCCAGCTAACAGCATCTGTGTAGCCCAGGACTCAGAAGATAAGCAGCAGCCAACATCTTCAGAATATACAGTATTGCGTGTGAAGCAATGAACAGAAAAAAACCCCAGAACCTAGCAAATAGCTGAGTGGCTCTGATACGCTACCTGGAGCAAAACGTAGCCAGGTGTACATGTACAAAGTAGCACCCACCCTTTTTATAGTAAAGGACACTCATACCACAAAAATACAGTTGAGATCTTAGCCAATTATTTTATTACTCCAAATTCAACAGTAAAGTCCTTTGAAGTTTACCCATCCATTAACAGAAGCATCTGTGGGATCTGGCTCTAAGTTTATCACAATTCTGTATTCCAAAATCATCCTCACTTTTAGTTCCTAAGCTCAAAAAGAAGCAGAGGATCAAAATGAAAACTGACACCTCCAGATCCCTTTTAGCAAACATTCCAGATACAAACAATTTGTATAAACAAGAAGTTTACAGCGAGGTCTGTGAGATCCAACTTCAGACCTTTCCATCACATCTCTCGTGCACAACCTTTGTTACAACTGCACATTGGGCCACTTTCACAAATTTGGATATTACTCCGTGGGAGACAACACAGCCAAAAGAAACTAAACTTAACCAGTTATTTCTGCTATAAAACATACTTCATGATGCCTAGCTGTGGAAATAACTGCATTTCAGCTAATTCATCATCTGAAACACTGCACAGCTTGCTATCATGCAAAATGCTCTCAATTTGGGTAGCATTAATCTCTGAAAAGAGGAGAATCTTTCTGTGAGTAAAAAATTAAAGATGTCTCTAAATACCTGCCCAATCCAGCATATCTTCTATTCCTTCTGCAGCTCCAGGCACCACTCGATTTTGATCTGTATCCTCCACTCTCAAAATAAAGGTCCCTTGGTGTTTTTTGGCAAAAATGTAATTGTACAAAGCAGTCCGAAGGCCACCCAAATGCAGAAAACCTGTAACCATGGGGAAATCAGAGGAGACGATAATAACTGAGGTCAAATAAAGAGATTTTTAAACCTGAGCTGGGAGGGCAGCGCTGCCGGGGGCAGAGAGGCACTGCTTGGCTTTGTGGGCCCGTGCGACGGGACTCAATTATCGGTAACGGCCTTCCAAGCACACGTTCCCTGAAGCGGCCTGGAAACCGCTTGGAAGCCGGCACGTGCTAGGAAATCCCGTTTTCCTGGTTTTTCACCCGAAAGGCCCGCACAGCTTTCCCGCGGTGCTG